TGTTCTTTTAAATCAACCTTCCTGAAGTGAATGTGTTGTAACGTTCAGGTCTGATGTGGATTTTGTTTTCTGGTTCCTTGTGCAGGTACACTCTTCTTCCAATGGGAATCCTGCAAATAACAGGTGTGAGGAGGACAGACTCTGGGATTTTTCGCTGCGTTGCCTCCAACATTGCCAACACTCGCTACAGCCATGAGGCCACACTCAATGTCACTGGTAGGTAAACACCTCATGGTGTTTATGTTGGGAAGACAAGAATCAGTGGGAGCAAAAGCAGCCTGTTTTATAGTTAACAGTGATTCATTATTTGATAACCAATATAATCAATAATACTATCTGAGTAATTATAATGTAGTCCTATGGGGCGCCGTTTGTAAAGTCAAGCAGTCAGAAATAACGAGCAATATTTATGGTTATTTATTCATTTATTTAGTGAGAATGTGATGGCTTCTTCCCTCCAGCCCAGCAAAAAGGGAAGCATTTGTTGCTATGGCAACACAGTGAAGCCCCATGTGCGTGGCTTTAGCTCTGTGGCGCAGGTTAACATAACATTAAACATTTGCCCATTTCTTAAATATATATATATATATATATATATATATATATATATATAAAACAAATGTACATACAAATGTATACGTTCAAATAAAACCAGAAAACAAAGAGGACCTTCCATTTTGGAATGAATTACGTGATTTTCATGAACTAACTTTTTTTTTTCTGTCAGTGTGGCGAAGATGACATAGGAGTTGTTTTCCATTATCTATCGACGTTAGCTTCCCAGGCTTTTACTTTGGTAGTTCACTTTAGATTTTCGGCAACTGAATTTGCATATTGGCTACATATTTAGCTAGCACCAAGCTAGCTTTCTAACAAAACAGTATTTTAGAAGAACAAACTGAAGAAGTCCCAAAGCTTTTTCTGCAGACTTAACAGCCTTTTAGATAAAACTCTGTGGTTGTTTTTTTGTTTTTGTTTTTACAGTTAATCTCAACTTACTTTTTAGCAATTCAGGTCCCATATTTTTATGTGTCTCTACTTTCAGTCATCCCAATGAAAATAACTGAGTTATCACTGAAGCCCTTTCCCCAGTATAAGCCTGCCATTGACCCATTTAGCTGTAACCTGGATAAAGTCCTGGATGATAATAAGGCTGTAGTCTAACATGTCCTGTCTCTATGATGGACCAGCTGACTGATGCTCTGATAAAATATCTTTGCTTTCTGTTTTATTAAATGATCACATGTTGTATGCAATGCTTTTCTGAGATAAAAACATCAACATCTGTAAATAAGACAAACTCACTTTAATTTGAGCTTTTCTATTCTGATTTGTTGTTAAATATATGCCTTTATACACTTTAACCTGTAGCCAAGTCAAGCAAACCAGGGATTTAGGTTTGATGTTGAATCTTCTGCTTTTTTCACTCATTTCTCTCTTTCAACTGATCAAGAAATTAGTGTAGCTTACATTTAATTTGATTAACGTTCTATTGAATTTGTCACAATCCTTTGATAATGCAGCAGTATGATTGCAGAATGTTCAACATAAAAATTATTGAATCCCCTCGTCAGCATGCCATCAGGTTTGGCAAAGCGTCCAGTCAAGAGCCATTCGTTTGATTCAGCAGAGTTCAATCAGGGATGTATCTAAAAACTCTAGGACAGTAGATCTTGAGGACCAGAGTTGGAGACCCTTGTCATATATTATGGATTATACAGTTTTTTTGTCCTGTTTCTGTTTCTTATTGTTCATGTCTCATGCATATTTGCTTTTGGTTCTTTCTTACTAAAAAGGTGGAGCTCCTAGAACCTATAAGGAGCCAGTCATCCTCTCTGGGCCACAGAATCTTACCCTCACTGTCCATCAGACGGCCATCTTGGAGTGCATCGCCACAGGAAATCCTCGGCCAATTGTTTCCTGGAGCAGGCTAGGTAGACACGGCTACCAGAGAGATTAAACTAAGCTACGTTTTATAAATCTAATTTCCCCTCATGTCTGTTTCACCATCAGATGGACGTTCTATTGGAGTGGAGGGTATACAGGTCCTCGGGACGGGTAACCTGATGATCTCAGATGTTTCCCTGCAGCACTCTGGTGTGTATGTGTGTGCTGCCAATCGGCCTGGCACCAGAATGAGACGGACAGCACTGGGACGCCTGGTGGTGCAAGGTGAGACCATGAAGAGATTCTTAGTATTTCCAAAAATCTGCTTCTTTTTATGTTATCTAGAAAGGAATTGTCGATCAAAGCAATGGCGGATCTAGAAAAAAAATCTTAATAGGTGGCAACCAAGAGACACTTGCTGTTCTGAGGCTGCAGGTTTGAGACCCTGATCTAGCAGATGAGAACCATAATTTTAATGCAGCTAAAACTAAACCTGAAACTTATTAGTTTTAAAACAATTATTAGTTAAACTAAAAATAAAAACTGAAATTGGTCCAGGAGACCGATCAGTTAGTTTCTGTGACAATGCATATCATCATCATAAACTTATTTAATATTATTTCGCCAGTAGGGTTGAAACAATTCATCAGATTTATCAAGATTAATAGATTACTGAAAAAAAAAATCTTCAACTAATTTTGTAATCGATTAATAATAAACTTATGAAGACTCGTGCTTTTAGCTGACAGAGCAACTAACTAAGAACACCAATCCTACCAAAATTGTAAAAAAAAAAGTATACATACATTTTGCATTTAACATAATAAAATATTTGTTGTTGTATATTGTTTTTTTTAATTATTAGGAACTAAAAGATCAACATTATAGTGGCCAGCCGAGAATCACAATATATCGCCAAAGTGGACTTTTTCCCACTCTCTTACCTGAGATATAGTAAAACGCTCCTCCCCCAAATTCTAACATGGACATCCAACATAGGGCAGCTGTAGTCCTGGCATTGGAACTGGAGGATCAACATCGAATGCCGATAGTGAAAAGACTGTTTGAGAGGAAGAAGAAGATGATGAAGAAGAAGAGTGCCCCAATGGGGGGGTTGTAACATTGCTCACACATGTGAAAGGCCTAGAATTTGGTCACCATCACAGACTAATGCAGGAGCTGAAGTGTGAAAAGAGAATAAGCAACTGTGTGAAATTGCATGCCTTTTGTTTTTCCCTTTTTTTCTCTTTTCCTTCTTTTTTTGCATTTTTGAATTCTTTTTTCCCTGCAAAAAATGCAAACCTAAGTGTTTGTCAGTTGAGAATACAAAGAAATTCACTGCAAAAGTTGTTCTGAACACTGCTCAGCCGGAACTGAAAGGTGAGGGGAAGACACTTCAGTTTGTTCCGGTTCAGTGGGGAAAATTGATTCTTGAACTTGAAGACAAGAAATGCTTTGTAGACTCACGTTTCTAGAAAAGTGGAAGACTCTTTGACTCCAGTCTGTGTGGGGTGTTCCAGTGTTTGTCTCATTTGGTGGAGGGCGGACAGGGGTTACCCAGAATGCGGTTGTTTGTAGGAGAACGGAGAAACTGCCACTCAGATTTCCTGCGGTACTTGAACGGACTGTGGTGCAGATGAATCCTTTGCTCAGTGTGAGGCTCAGTTGATCCTTCCAGGGAGAGAAGGTCCGAAAGGTCCAGTTTGCAGGATGACTTCCTGCCGAGAGGCAAAGACAAAATAACAAGATTAAAACTCAGGTTGACTCAGCAAACCTCAGCTTGGCTAGAGTACCCAAAACTGGCAAACACTCTGGCGTTAAGGTAGTGGCAGTCAGCAGCTTAAGAACACTCCGTTAATGAAGTAACCCTTTGCAGGTGTGTGAGGAGGTGAATCAGGACCAGGCGCCGCCTGGTGGAGGAAGGAAGACAAACACACAAAACAAAAACCACACAGACAGGAGTCCTAACAAAGACAAAATGGCTTTACTGTGGTTATGGTTTAACGATAGGGAAAACTAACCTAATGTTGCCTTGAGACTGTAAAGTCATAAAAAACACAATGCGTGAGAAATAATAGACATAAATAAAGCATGTTTTTTAGAGTTTTTCTTTATTCAACAAACATAATTTCCCTTTGGGTTCATGATAGAATCCAGTTGCCCCTTTGTGACTATTTGTCCAGATCAATCAATAAACCTCTCTGGGGAACTGAAGCAGTGATTGGCAGCNATTTGTCCAGATCAATCAATAAACCTCTCTGGGGAACTGAAGCAGTGATTGGCAGCTTGGACAAAAGGAGAATGGTTGATCTTTAAAATATGCATTAATTTATTGATCATTTTTCTAATCTGAATTATTAGGCTTCTGTTGATTAGTAACGTGACCATATGGGTTAAAAGGCCTCAGGAAGAGCTAAAATTAAACATTCAGGAGTTACCTCTATAAATCTGCTATTCTTCATCCTAGCTGATTTATGATCATGTCTAATTAGTACTTATTAAGTACTGAGCTCAGCCAACTGTCAGTAAAAAATGCTCTATTTAAAAAATAACAATTTGTAATGCTGTATGACATTTTTTTAAAGATCATGTTTTTAAGGTAGATTGATACAAAAGATCTGTAAGAGGTTTAAACATTTAATATTTTTCATGACTTTAAATGTATTTAATGAAAAACTTTTATTTCCATATGAATGGATTATAGGTCTAAAAAATAACACCTTTCTTTTTTTTTTTTTTACAAAAGATTGCTTTTCCAGACGTCTCTAATTAACATATTTAGAATGCATTTTACAAGATTTGATTCACGCTATAATGTAGGTAAATCAGTATTTTTCATGTATTTCACTCTGGAAAGAAAAAGCTCTTTGTTTACACCTTTAAGCTTTTTCTCTCTGATTCTTTCTTGAGAAGCGACTACTTGGTACAAAATCTTTAAAGAAAACTTTGTAAGGTTTAGATATTAAATATCTAGAAAACATGGCAACATTTTTTAACAGACCAGGTAGGTTGCACGGATATAACGGTACCATTGTGAAACTTTAACCTTAACAGGGAAGAAATATTAGAGTTTAATAAGCACATACATGAATCATAAAAATATTCTTTACAACTTAGGTACCATTTTCACCGTTTTAAAAACACCTTCAAAACACAATCTTATGTCCAAAAATAGTTTCATGAACAGGATAACAGATTGGAAGGAAAAACTTTAAGCACTGCATCAAAAATCTCACAACATCATAGAATCATGGAATTAGCCATCAACAGTCCCCCTGGTGATGTAATCAGAAGATCACACACAAGATCACAGTTTCAACATTTATCTACAATTTGGGGTTGGTCTAATTAAATAAAGGCTGTTGTAGTTCCCTATATTTTAATTTACATTAGACTAGCTAACCTAGGCCTACAGTCTGAAAAGGTCATTTGATCTACTGCCATCCCCACCTAATAGTGACCACTCCATCCTGAGTTACCAGTCGCTAAGTCACATCAGGACAGGCCGTTCTCCACCATTAAACCCTGCCTTCTCTAATAAGTCATATAAAACATGGGTGACACCAGGGATTCCCTCTTTCGGCCAATCTGAGCATGAAACTCTCCTTTTGAATCTGGTAGTTACTATTACCATCTAATCGAAGGACCTTTGAATGGCTTTAGGATAAATAACCAGTGATCATAGTGATCTGTATCATCAGCGATGTGTCTGTCTACCTGCCAGCTCCCAGGTTAGCTTCTCTGATTGGTTGATGTGGCACATCGAGCAGCAAAAGTTAGATTTTTTCACCTCGAGCAGCAGCTGTGTTTGCGGCGCGTCGCACGCGTCAGATGCTTAAATGCTCAAAACGCGCTGCGGGACATTTTGACGTGCATAAACCATTGACTTTGCATGGAAACTAGCTGCTCCTGCTGCTCCTGCTTGGTGTGAACGCAGCTTTAGTGCTTGGAAAAAAATGTAATTCCTTTTGAGAGCATCAAAAGTCAGCTGAGTACAAAACATAGAGAGGAAAACAAGAAGAAAAGGGACAAGAAGAGAGGGACACAACCTAGAACAGATAATGGATATCTATTCTATTAACATTTCTCTATCTGTAGAATGGGGCTGTTTTATGTGTTGCCTTCTCCATTCAGAGGGCCCCCTGCCTGTCTTTGCCTAGGGCCCCAAATTTTCTAAATCCGCCCCTGCATGGAATATCACAGTTTTCTATATTATCTGGCATTCCTTCCAGAATGTATTATTCCTGGTAAGGATAGCTGCTACTGACCTATAGCTTTAGCGAGCCGATGCTCAAACTATTCAGACTAGAGTATTGATGCTATTATTATGAGAGATGCATATGTCATAAAAAGCGTCAACAGTGAAAAAGTGCAACTCAACCAAAATAACTCCTCAGTTTTAGAGCTGCAGGCAGTGATCATCTGATTTACCCCTGCTAGCCTATCATCCACTTCATAGACGCAACAGGTGAGTCCACTAACACTTCACCTGTACAAAATCCAGCTAAAAATAGCTTTAACACCTGCTGCAGCTTTCAGTTTTCCAAGTGAAAAGCAGTAGACAAAACTTTTTTTCCATTTGTGGAGATTTTGTTTTACTCAGGACTAAATACATACAATAATTGATTGATCTCAGTATTCTTAAAGATAATACTTTCAGTCTTTGTCTAGTCTAGTGTTAAACTAATTCATTCATTGCAGTGCACGTGCAAAAGTCAACATAAACATGCAATGGGTCTAAAAAGTCAGAATTTCACTGTTGCAATGAAGAAACCTGCAGCAATGTCCACTGCTGCAGGCCAGGCTTGGTCTGATGTTCCTTTTTGGAAAAGGAATGATTGTTTTGGCTAAATTTACCCACATCTGAGTATACAGTACATCATTTTTTGTCCTATGAATAGCAAGAACCCAGAAATGAATCCCCCTGATGGTACGTTGTTGTTGAATCCATTACTTTCAGGATGTGATCAGAAAATAAAAAACAACCTCTAAAGTCTTTGACCTGCTAAACAATCCCTCTTTCAAACATGAAAATTGTTGTAGCGAAAAAATATAATTCTGTGTAGATTGAAAAATTATTCCGTTTAAAATTGCATTAATTCAGAGATTTATTTACTGTCTATTAAATCTCAAAGCTGTCCTAAAAGTAGGGATTCTACATTCTGTATTTTTTAGATTAAGATTAATCTTTCCTGCAGTTTTTAGTCTAAAAAGAACTAAATTTATTTTGCAGTAAATTAAATTTAAGGTTTAATGAAGTGAAAGAGGAATGGTGTTATTTTGATTATTGAAAGGTGTCAAGTTACAAAGTACAAATACTTAGTTATCTTACTTAAGCAGAAATTTTGGTAATCTATACATTACTGGAGTAATTATTACTTCTACTTACATTTTTAAAAATAGACTTCTTAGTTTTGTTTAATTTCAGCTCATTTTCATTATGGCCTGTTGGTATTAAAAAGATTAAAACAAAAAACTTCCGAATTATTTTTTTCATCCAGACAAATAAAGTCTTTGTGGTTGGACTTGGTGCTGCCCCAACGTGTTGCTCACCACATACCAAAATAAATAGTTTTTCAAGATGATGCAAAGTTCAATTTGACACTGTTACAATCAGTTGTAAAACTAAGAAAATGAAGTCAAAGGAGGTTATCATGCAGAATTGTAGAAATATGTTCCTTTAATAGAGTAGAGCAGTAAAACTTCCGTTCTTAACATTTTTTATTTAATTGTAAATTCATTTTTAATTTTTATTTGAACTTATTTTAAAGCAGTAGGATTTAAACACTGGAAAAATGATCTAGAAATAAATAAAAATGTCTTAAATTAAGTGTATTTCCCCTTAATTTGAGTTGGTAAATAAAATAGTTTGCCAATGGAATTAGTATTTTTTGTCTTAAAATAAGATATTTAGATAAAATGCACTTCAAATAAGACAATGCAATTGTGTTTTAATATTTTAAATTAAATTTGTCTTGTTCCATTGGGAAAATGTCTGTTTTACCTCCTCAATCCAAGAACAAATGTACTTATTTAAAGAAAAACTAGCTGATCTAGATTTAGATTTTGTCCCAGTGTACTTCTACTTGAGTAATAACATTAATGCCACCTCTGACTTTAGGGCATGTTCTCTTCATTTATTGTTAAAGGAACCTTTATTAGCTTGAGATTAAAAGGTGTATATGTTTAGACACGAGTCACACTCCAGAACAGAGCTGCTTCCTGATGCCTGGTGTTTGCAGAGTCTGCCAGGTTGTGAGTTTTACTTCAGTCACTAGTAGACGTCCATTGTCATGAGCAGAGAACAACATATGGACAGGCAGAAAGAGAGGGGAATATCTAGATTTTCAATGCAAGTGGGGGTAGCAGAGGAAAAGGAATGGGGGTTTAGATTGCCCTGTAACCTCTGACCCCTGACCTGGAGAGAGGGATTATGTCAGTGAAAACGGCAATGGAGTGGGAGGAGGCTGTGCACTTGGGACAGTCAGATAGGGACAAAGGAGAGCTGGTCCTCCGCAGGAAGATGGATCACATCAGTGACCCACAGCAGTGGACAGCTGGCTTAGCATCACTAAGATATGCTCTCCTTCCATTGTTGTCCTCTCTTCCGTTTTTCTAGACTAGATTCCTTTTAGCCAGCTTGTTATATTTTATCTAATATCAGGTTTTTTATTCACATTTCTGCTGGACTAACAGAAAATGTGACTGAGTCAAAAATTAAGTTCTGATAACAGCATAGGGAGGACTTTATGAAACAGCGGATGTTCTAAAAAACTCATCCTCCTCAAGGAAAGCTCCAGTTTACTGACATGTTAAATCCAGTCATTCCAGGAGGAAGGGTTTGTTTCTCTGTCTATTTCCTGACAAACATGCAGAAAATGGAAGGTGCTCGAAGTGGAATGTATTATAAGTTGGAAAAAAATAAAAAAATTATTTTTTTTCTTAAAATAAGTGCATTTGTTCTTGAACTGAGGAGGTAAATGAAACACTTTGCAATGGAACAAGACTAGTTACCTTTAAAATAAGAAATAAAAATAGCATTGTCTTATTTCGAGAGCATATTATCATGTTTTAAGAGTAAAAATAGTCATTGGAAAATCATATAATTTACCTAATTAAATTAAGAGTAAATACACTTAATTTAAGAAATGTTGATTTATTTGTAGATAATTTTTGCAGTGTATTAGTTTAAAATTATTTTAGACCTTAACTCACTTGAGCCTTTTATTTAAAAGATATGCTTATTATTCTATTCTTTACGTTTAGAAGCACTTCCTTCATTCATTAATGTATTGCCCAAATGTTTCATAAATGTATTAACCCTATAAAGACCGAACAGTTTTATTCCCTAGTTTTACCTTTTCGATAGTTTTGGTTCCTGAAGTGGTTTTTACGCTGCTAAAACATTAAATCTCAATATGTCTGTTTAAAATAAGTGCATCTTTTCTTGAAGTTAGGATGAAAGAGACACTTTGCCAATGGAATAAGACAATTTACATTTAAAATAAGAAAAAACAAAAAAACAATGTCTTATTTAAAGTGCATATTATCTAATTATCCTATTTGAAGAGTAAAAATATTCATTCCATTGGCAGATCATCTTATTTACCTACTCAAATTAAGACTAAATGTATTTATTTTATCACAGTTTTTGCAGTGTATTAAAAATACAAAAAGGGACTAATCGATATTAAAGATGATCATTTAATTTCACCTGTTTTTTGCCTCTGAATGTCCAGCTGGATACAAAGGGGGCTTTATTTTTGTGCAGGGGTCATTAGATCAATGACATGCAGAGAGCTGGTCTAAGGTTGACCCTCGTAGGCGAGGCCTGCTGCCTTCCAGAGGGGGAACACCCAGCTGACCCTAAAGCGGGTGATTGGGGGAGCACTCCTTGCCTCTAGTCCGGCTCTGATTGGCCGCATCAGCTGGTGTGTCTTTGTTGGACAAAGGGACCAGATTGTCCTTTGGGAATTCAGAGACACACTTCAACCATCACGTATCAAGGCCATTATGGTTCCTGCATTCATTTTCTCTTCGAAATCTGAGGCTAATAACACAAAGAAAATAATCTCTGAAAATAAAACAGGGCGTTCACCCCTAACATTATGATAATAATTTAAAGCAAGGCTAACATAATGTTTGCAATAGCAAATTGCTATCTTTCTGTTTTTCCTAAAAAATTATGTTTATAAAGTATCTGATTATTTGACTTTTCCATAAAACCATGTACACTGGAAAAATGATCTAGAAATAAATAAAAATGTCTTAAATTAAGTGTATTTACCCTTAATTTGAGTTGGTAAATAAGATAGTTTGCCAATGGAATTAATATTTTAGTCTTAAAATAAGATATTTAGATAAAATGCACTTTAAATAAGACAATGCAATTGTGTTTTCTTATTTTAAATTAAATTTGTGTTGTTCCACTGGGAAAATTTCTGTTTTACCTCCTCAATTGAAGAACTAATGTACTTATTTAAAGAAAAACTAACTGATCTAGATTTAGATTTTGTCCCAGTGTAAAATATCTGTCCTCATTATTTGTTTTCAGTCACCTGTAGATACTCTATGTTTTTTCAAATTGTGTTTTCCTTTATTTTCTCTAAAGTGCCGTTTTTTAACCAATTCGTTTCTCTGGACTTTTTTATTCTTTTTTAACATTTTCTTAGACTTGCTTTTATGCAAACTTATAAACTGCCAACTGGGCAATATATATTTCTTACCATCAAGACATTTTCTTTACACAACAAATTTTACATTAATGCACCCATAACTACACTGGGGCTAAAACATGTTGAGCTATGAAACAATGAAGTTCAAATATATATCTGAAATGAATAAACAGTTTTTAGCCTCGAGGAAATAAAAAACACTGACTCTAGCTGCACATAGACTAACAAATGTGTATAATAATAACTAATAACTGATAATAGTATCACTTAAATCAAGTCTAAAGTTTCCATTTGCTGTTCTCAGTAGGAATCATTGATGATCTAGTTTTGATAATAGATCCTCTGAGGATCTGAGGTCTGCACGGTTGGTTTGACAGCTTCACCAAACCACAGCTGTTCCTGCTTTTTGCAGAGGAGGATGGATCTGAAACAAAGTTCCCTCGTTTGCTGACCAAGAACTTTACCAGCTATACAAAAGAAAAGCTCTGAGACTGAAGAACTTCAGTACTAATAGCTGGGGGAAAAAAAACTAAACTAAACCAAATTAAACTTCTGTTATTTTCTTGCCATTCTCCTTTATATAGGTTTTGCTTTTGATTCTCTTTTCAATTATACCAACTTTGATCATTATGTATTGTAGAAATATGTCCTAAAATAAATAAAAACACTACCATGTGAGCGTGGTGTTGTTTATATTCTTTATTGCCACTTTATTCATGTTTTCTGCACCTTGTGTAATCTCTCTTCTCCCCTTCACCCCTTTAAGCTCCACCTGAGTTCCTCCAGTGGCCGCAGTCTGTGTCCAGACCAGCAGGGGGCAGTGCTGTGTTCACATGTGTGGCTCAGGGTGTCCCTGATCCCCACTTAATTTGGCTGAAGAATGGGAAAGTTCTGACCCCAGGACAAAATGTCAAGCTGACAAATAACAACAGGTAAGAGGATGATGGCAGATAGGGAACTTATTCAAAGGAGGAACTTTTTCTCTCATTTTTAAAATTTTTTTAAGGTTCACATTTGTGTGACCAATTTTGCTATAGCCTAATGTTTTACTGCTGTAACGCCACAATTTTCCAATTGCAGGACAATAAAGGGATTTTCTATTCCATTCTTTTCTATTTCTACACTTTTTTAATTCGGTTTCACTTGTTCTGTTTTTGATTTTTAAATCTGATTATTGCAACTGTATTTTCTCTATCAAACTCGAGCACATTAGATATATTTTTTATCACACTGTCCATGATTAAATGCATGTTTAGTTCTCTGCAAGCTTCATACAGTATGTTGATATTGGCACAGAGTTGGTGGTATTTTCTTGTGTGTTCTTCTTTAGTGTGAATGCTATTATTCTTTATCATTTTGAGTTAAAGTAAACCATTGTAGTGCTGTCCAGAAATTTTTATTTACTGTAAAGGAAGGCAGGGCAAGTGCACCATTCTTATATAAACTATCCAAGGAGAATTAGAGAAGATGAAAGTGGAGACAAAAAGAAAAGAGGTTGGAGTTCAAATGAAGTAGGGTTTATAATACAGGATAAAATAAACCAGTAACTTTACTGCTAATCTCTACGTAACTTAAAGATATGTACTGTATTGCTCATCTTTACCAGAGGAAAATCCTTTAAAAGTATTTTGGAGCTCAGGTCTAACTGATACTGAGTTAGACTCCTCTTTTTTGATGCATGTGTGTCGTGTTGCAGCACTTTGGCGCTGACCCGTATAAGCTCAGACGACGAGGCCATCTACCAGTGCATCGCGGAGAACAGTGCCGGCACTAACCAGGCTAGTGCCCGCCTGGCTGTGGCTCAAGCTAAGGACCTTCCTGCTGCCCCACAAGGGCTCTCAGCCAGCGCTGTGTCCACCAACACCCTGCAAATAACATGGAGTAACCCACCCACCAGCATCACTGACAGCATCATCGGATATGTCTTACACATCCGTAAACTGGGAGGTAAGCACACAACTTGAGAAGCTTGAAACTGAAGTTTATGTTTTATAATTTAAATCTAAATGTGTTCATGTTCGGATGTTTTCATAGAGCCTGATCGTCTGGAGCTGCAGGAAGCCATAAGTAAAGACACGTTTCAACATGATGTGACCAACCTGGAGGCCAGCACCACCTACTCTCTGTACCTGAAGGCCTACTCTGCCTTGGGGGCGAGCCAGCAGTCCAACAGCATAATCGCCACCACACTAGGCAGTGGTAAGGCCAAACAGTCCTCATGAAACTGGTGCTCAAAGGAAAATACTAAAGCAACAGGATGTTGTATTGACTTTAAAAAAGGGGATGCACAAAATATAGTAAAGAGTAATTACTTTTCAAAAGACTTGGAATATATTAAAATATTTGGAGCAACATCATGCACTTTAAAGGAACTTTTCTTTGATTAAAGGGATGGTTCTGTAGAGGTGATGATGTTCGGTAATGGAACAGTTTGATCAGAAGGACCTGGCTGGGTCTCATCTTCTAGAGGATGCAAATGCACAATATTTGTTGTTTTTGCTGTATTTAAATGAATAATTCTACTGTAAGTCATTAGCTCCCTCTGCTTCATTTAAATTCATCTATAAAACCCTGATAGGGACCAAATGGTAAACAGTTTTTTCACTGATGTTGAAAGTCTAAGTGTTATACTGGATATCCTGAGCATGCACAGACATATGTAGGTCTGAAATGTAATACCTAAAAGATGAAAATAACAAATAGAATTTCAATTTAAACTAAAAAATTATGTTAAAATAAATTATATTAATCAATGTTCTAATTAGTTCTATGTTTTACTTCTTCCAAGGATTTGCCAGATAATCAAAGTTCTGCAACTAAGCTTAGGGTCTAACTCCACTTGGTGCTGATGAGCAAAGAATATTCTGGAACTATACGAACTAACCTTTGTGGGTGCTTTGATAATAGCAATTCAATTTATTTCTATAGCACCAATTCACAACACATGTCATCACAAGGCACTTTCCAGTTCACCAGATCATCTTAGTCAAATGATTCAAAGTTTTCGATTGAAGGAAAACCAGTTGATTACATCGACT